CCTATTTATTGACAAAATATATAACTTATAAAGGTTAACAAAGTTTTGCTTGGTACAAAAATTTTGGTTAACAACTTTATCCATCAGCCACTTCTATTATTATTCTGTTTCCCGAAAATGGCGCAATAATACCATACCACGCGATATGGGGAAATATTTGCAAAAAAATCCGACAGGTCGTTTTCAACCCCACACCTCCACAGTATGTTTTTAACGCAAATCAAAGATATCTTAATTTTTGAGAAAAAAGTATTGTTATTAAATATTATTATTATTGTCATCGAGTGATGATGAATTTGTCTAAAGATGTGCCCTACACAGTAAAAAAATATTTGTTAATTTTAATCTAATATTAAACAGATTGTATGTTAATCCAGGTCCACATATAATAATAATAATAATAATAATAATAAAGGTCATTATTTATAAATAACAATGGTATCTGCATAAAAAAATAAAGATAAATTATTGGCAGTAAGTATTATTATTTATGAAAAGGCGAGATTCAGCTTTTTATTTGGACTTGGTCTTGGTCCACCACATAAATTAAGTTAACAACCAACTAATTGAATAAATGGTTTGTAATTATTACAAACATTTTGTAGATTTAATAAAAAACTATAATTCTTGTAATTTTTAAAAAGACCCAGTAACAAAAGTATTTGTTGGAAATTGGGAACTTAAATTAAAATAATTTTGATAAAAAATGTTGCTTTATTATCAATTTCCCAAACAAAAAAATTAACTCATAAATGAACACAAAAATACACACAATTAAATAACACCATTCTGAACTTGGTACAATTGGTACAATTTAATTATAAGTACTACTACAACACTTAATAATGTATTTCTTCAGTGATTCCCATAATTTTAGTTTGAAAACCAGTGATGGTATCTTTCTTCGGATACTTCGCACACTCGTTAAATAGGTATAAAGAATCCGAGTAAAATTGTAACGAATTAAAATAAAGTAAGCAGAAACATAAGTTGCAGACGCTGAAGTCAGTTGAACTTGTTTATGCCTATGGTAAGTGGAAAATGTTTTGATTGACTGCCTGAAATCACGTGTACTTTTTTAACGAAATAATTTGTTATCATTAACAAAATAATCTGTAACCTTTGAATTTAACAAAATGCTTACAAAATGCTTAACAAACTTTGGTAATATATTTTCCTTTTTTAAAATAATTACAAACCCTGGTTTTCTACAAAAAATTATGTTAACATTTTACAAAATAAAATTAACTAACTACAAACTTATGTAAACAAATCGGATTTTTATAACAGTGTATATAGAACTGTTTCTGTTGAGTCAACAGTGTTGACTATCAGGCGCTGGAATCACTTAAAAATGCAAATTTATTAGTCGACAAATTTATCGAGCGAATAACGAAATTTGACAAAACCATGAAGTATGACGATAAATATTCGAATTTGTCTTTAAGTCTTTATTATTAACTTTTCTGAATGAAAAATTTCACCGACATCAAACAGTTGGAATGTATTGGGTTGTGTTCGCCAATGGCGTACACACTTATTTCGAATATCTATCCACATATGCCTTGGAATTTTTGTCTGTACGCGTTATCACACATCCATGGAGCCCAAACTTAATAGGTAAATTGACAAAACCTGCCATCTGAATCGAACAAATTAAGACTTTTTTTTTCACCACCAGCGGCGCTGATTGTCGATGCGTCCTGACGCCTGGTATTTTGGTAGCGTTTCGGTACAAATCAAACAATCAACGGAACACCAGCGCCCTCTTATCGTAGGAAGATTTTTGTATACATGAAGTTCGGACTCCTTGTGTAGGCTCAGGGCTGTCTTAAGATATTCAGCGCCTGTGGGCTACTAAAAATAATGCGCGAGTTAGTTGAAAAGGATATACAAAAGTTTCAGAACTAGGAAAAGTCGATTTATTTCGTATACTATTTTCTGTTTCATTTAGAACAGGTTATTCTTAAAAAATATAATGTTTATGATGATGTTCATCAATAAAAAATGCCGCCCTCAAAATGTTGCGGCCCAGTGCTATAGCCCATTTAGTCCTGTAGTTAGGGTGGCCCTGTGTAGTCTCCATGTACACATCTAAAAACGGTTGTTATGGAAACAAAATCAACAACGGACCTGCCATTTAAAATTAACCTGGTTGACAGATGTACATATTTTCTCATAACTTTGTTAATATTAACAATTATTAACTTTTTATTTTTAAATCGTCCCCCTCGTTGTATAAATAAAAAGTTTTAAAACATGAAAATAACAAAAAAACAATTTTTAAACCCAAAGGTATAACTTAAAAACTACTTATCGGTACTTTTTATACTTAAAATAACACCATCCACATCCCTTGTGCGTACAGTGTGACCCATTTGTTTCCTACTCACCCATGTAAAATCTTTATTATTGTGCGATTTTAACAGAATTTGTTTAAAAGTGTACATGTACATGCATCTTGATAAACTGTACTTTTGGAGCAATAAAATCGCTATATGGATTCTTAATTTTATTTTTGAAATTAATTATATTTAACATTTTGGGTTTTAATTAAATATTGTGGCTTACGGAATTTTTATTTAAATTATAAAATAAATTAGTTAATGGTAAATTATTAAAATTAAGCGCTTTTATTAAAGGTTGTTAGTTTTGAACATGATTTTAAAATTAAAAAATCGAATTGGTAATTGATTTAAATTTAACAATATCCTTTATATCTAAAATTATTCTTTTATTTAAAATATAACGAATTCAAAATAAATAGGTTATTTTAAAATAAGTAAATCCATTTAAATATATGTAGTATATGTTAATTAATTAATTTTTATTGTTTAAAAATAATTTTGCAATTTTTTTCTTTACAAATACATTTTTAAATGATATCGGAGATGTAATACCCAAGACATATTTTTGTAGGACATTTTACGCTTTTTTAAATAATTTCACCTATAAATTAAAAGTATTGTCATTTAAAAAAAAGTTTTTGGACAGAAAACAAGTAATTTAGATGATACCCAAGTACAAACGATCTATATCAAAGGCCAACTACGAAAAATTCAGAGAATAAAAAATATATTTTTTATTAATTTTAAACTCTCACCCCCGATTTCATTTAAATTGATACAATGTATGAAGCGTGAATTTTTTTTACAAAATGTTTGCCTTGTCTATTGTTGTATGTATTAATTAGCGAGTTATGAATATTTTTTATGTGATTAAAATTAAATATTAATTTATTTAGGCAGGGTTAAATGACATGAAAAAAAATTTCCAAAATTATTTTTAGACTAAACAAATAGGTAATTTATATGATACCCAAGTGAAAAAAGCCAACTTGGAAAATAACGGGCACCATTTATGTTATTTTTAATACACCATTTTAAATAAAATATAGCATATATTAAATATAAAGGGTATCCTAATAAATTATAAAAAATACTTAATATAAATATACATGAACATACGTCCTTAAACGCATAATTTTCTAAAAAAATATATGAAATAATTATAATGTGAAATCAAAAGCGGACAAGAAGAATATTTTTAGTGACATTTTTGGCGAAATAAAACATAAAATACGTTTTATTTTTATAAACATAGTTTAAAATCTGTAAAATCATCATCATCAGAACCGAGCATATTCCGAGAGCTTTAATATCAAATCCGAACTTGTCAATTTCAACCTATTTTGAGATTTTCTCCATATTTCGCAGTTTGTTCTTTTCTTATAAAATTAGTTTAACTAGAGAAATTACCTTCATCTTTTAAAGCCAGACCAGTCTGTGTTTTTTTATGCAAGTGCAGCCAAAGTTAAGATTATTATTATACAATTGCAAAATAATATTTATATTATAAAGTATTAATAAAAACATAATGTCCCACAATACATTATTAATTAAACAGTTATCAGTTTTTTTTGTATATTTTTGTACTTTTGTGTGAAATTGTTCTATATGAATCATTTGGAATAAATTGAATTTTTTATCTATTTTATAGCCCCTCTTAACTTTTTAAATAGTGACTAAAAGAACTTGTCTTTTTAAATCATTTCTAGAATCTCCTTACTTCGGATTAGCACAACATATAAAAACACCCTGTATAATATTTTAAGTTAATAATACTAAAAGGATTGTAATGTTCGTTAATATTTCTTGTATTTTATTGGTTGCCATTAGGATAATTCATCTCGATTTTGATTTTTTAACCCGGCAACAATGTCTGATGGCTTCGGTTTGCCAAATCAATCACATTATTCCGGTTCATTGCTTTTCATAGGCCATTTCGTCATGTTGCATTATAAATGTCTCTGCGTTATTGAATTTCTTTGTCCTGATTTATTTTTGTTAAAGGATGACAAATAGGGAACCATTTCGAAGGCACCATGTGGCAACGAATTATTATCTAAACTCGAGATGAATTTGTATCTCTACGTGACGTGTTTCACCTACAAATTGAAATATATACTTACTATCTAGCACTATACAGTGATTGTTGAAATTGTTCATTAAGAGTTTTGAATTAAAAATTAATATATCGCCCTGTTAAGCCAAATAACATGTAAAGGGCAGAATACATTTTTATACTAACTACTGTTTTTAAAGTTTTGCTCAGAAACAATTGATTGGATTTGATAAAAAATCATAAAACAAACATTAAAAATGCAAAAATAATAAATTAAATTTGCAACAACCTTTCTTTAAATCACCATTAAAGGAGTTAATATACCATAAAAAACAATCGTTGGAAATATTAAAAAATAATAATAACAAAAAGTAAATGCTTCACCTTTAAAATTGATCTAATTTGACACTTTCTAAACGATTACCTTTTATGGAGATTTTAACCTAGTCATTTCGTTTTTGTTGGCCCGCCATTTCATGACATTTTGAACCCCCACAAATTTTTCCAATGCAACAGCAAAGCGCACCTAACCATAAGCGGTATTTCAATCACTGATTGTCTATAAATGCATCTCGGTACAAACAGGTATGCTCTGGCAACAATGCATCGAAATTCCCTTATGACGTTATAATTAGTGGCGTCGCGAGCCTTAAATGGACGGACGCTGGGCGTAAGAAGCGCCCTATAAAAACTAGCGTGCTTGGCATTATCACTCACTTGAAGCGCAACCTGCTACTCAGCCAGTGACTGCCACCCTGTTTATTTTTTCGTTGAGGTGAGATTAGAGAGACGAGTGTGTGAGTTTTTTACATTGCTTGTAAAAATACTGTGATGTTATGCAAATGTCTTGTTCAAGTGCAGTGTGTCTAGATTTGGATGCTAACTGGGAACGAATTTTATTGCCTGTGTTTTAAGATAAATTTTTGAGTTTATTATTAAATTGTTTTGTTCGTAGTTAATCATGTAATACATCTTTTATGAATAACAAGTTTTAAAGTATGGTTGATTGTAAAAAAAAGACTTAGTTTTTCAAATAACAGTAATGTGTAGATAGTAATTCTTACTAGGTAACTTTTTTGCAGTAGTACCAAGTCAAAAACCAGACCAGCAAGATGTGTGATGATGATGTTGCGGCACTAATGATAGACAACGGCTCCGGCATGTGCAAAGCCGGTTTCGCTGGTGATGACGCCCCCCGTGCTGTGTTTCCCTCCATTGTAGGTCGCCCAAGACACCAGGGTGTCATGGTGGGTATGGGTCAAAAAGATTCGTACGTAGGAGACGAAGCCCAGAGCAAAAGAGGTATCCTTACCTTGAAATACCCTATCGAGCACGGTATTATTACCAACTGGGACGATATGGAGAAAATCTGGCATCACACTTTCTACAATGAATTAAGAGTTGCGCCTGAAGAACATCCAATCTTGTTGACTGAAGCCCCTTTGAACCCCAAATCTAATCGCGAGAAGATGACCCAAATCATGTTCGAAACCTTCAACGTGCCCGCGATGTATGTTGCCATCCAAGCTGTGCTTTCGCTGTACGCTTCCGGTCGTACCACCGGTATCGTATTGGACTCAGGAGATGGTGTATCCCATACCGTACCAATTTATGAAGGTTATGCCTTGCCTCATGCTATCCTACGTCTGGACTTGGCCGGTCGCGATTTGTCCGACTACCTCATGAAGATTCTCACTGAACGTGGTTACTCATTCACCACCACAGCTGAAAGAGAAATCGTTCGTGATATCAAGGAAAAGCTTTGCTATGTCGCTTTGGACTTCGAGCAGGAAATGGCTACCGCTGCCAATTCTACCTCCGTGGAGAAGTCCTATGAATTGCCTGATGGCCAAGTCATCACCATTGGTAACGAACGTTTCCGTTGCCCTGAAGCCCTTTTCCAACCTTCGTTCTTGGGCATGGAATCGTGCGGTATCCACGAAACCGTCTACAACTCCATCATGAAGTGCGACGTTGACATTCGTAAGGATCTGTACGCAAATACTGTACTCTCCGGCGGCACCACAATGTACCCAGGTAATTATTTTAATTTACAAAAAAAACTTGTTATGCAATAAAACACTTAGGAACTTTGCCAGTTAAATTAAGAATTACAAAGGCATTCATTGAATAAATAGGACTTGTCGCAGTGCCAACTTCCCTGCATTGATTTAAGTATTATTTTAGGTATCGCTGATCGTATGCAGAAGGAAATCACCGCCTTGGCTCCCTCGACAATTAAAATCAAAATGATCGCTCCACCAGAAAGAAAGTACTCCGTATGGATCGGCGGTTCGATCTTGGCTTCCCTGTCCACCTTCCAACAGATGTGGATCTCCAAACAAGAATACGATGAGTCCGGCCCTGGAATTGTCCATCGCAAATGTTTCTAAATTAACCATACGCTTTTTATATCGGGCTGTTATTTTTATATCTTGCGACAGCGGTCACTGTGTACTACGCGCAGACATTTAAGACTTTTTACATTATAATCATGTATTATGTTTAACTATATTATACTCTTTTATTATATTTACTTAAATTGTAACTATTTCGAAAATTCTTAATAAAGTTTTGTTATTTGTTTACTTTTTGTTTTAATATAAAAGTTATATTTATACTCGTACACAACCATTTTATTACATACTATACTACATATTATATTGAAACGTATTGTATTTCAGTATGAGTTAAAACATCTGCTCATTAGCAGCCAACGAGTTTTTATAGAAATGATTATAATTAATTATAAAATAGTTCTTAATTTACCAGTTTACATAAAGTAAAATTTAACAAAGCATAATACAGCTAAATTGCAAGATAAATTACAAAATGCGATATTTTAATGCAATTGTAACTTTTTAATTTATGTGCTGTCTAAATTTTAGAATGCTTTCTATCTGTTAAATAAATGGTGTTCCAATAAGTATTTGAGATAAGGATTTTATGAATATTAACACAGTACAAAACGATTTTCCTCCCATAAAATTTTTTAACAGATTTTAAAAATAAAGGTTTAAAAACGTACCCGTGTCTCAACGTTTTACAAAATCACGTCATTAATTTTTTTTACACAACCATTCTTATTATTTTAACCTAAACACATTTTTAATTCTCTTTTTTGTTATAAATAATTTTTTTTCTTCAAATATTTTAGGTTTTTACATAATACAAAAATTATACTTAAAGAAAATAACAATTTTATTTTTTTAAGTAAAATAAATATTTCTGGTTTTAAGTTTTGTTTTTTTAAATAAAACAACAGATTTGTATTTATAAATATATGTTGGAAACAAATCTTGATCTTTTAGTTTGACGATTATACATTGCTTTCGAATCTATAGTGGTATCACAACCTAAAAACACCACTTGATATACAGGGTCTTTCACATTCGTGGTCCATTGGAAGTTTCTGGAGAACGGAAAAAATATAGATTTGAAATTTAAAAGCGTTTATAATCTAAGTCTATTTTTTTAAATATTTTGAACAAAATGCAACTTCCGGTTTGACCGGAAGTGGCATCAGCAATGCTGATTCAGCATTGTTATTTCAAATAGAATACATTTTTACATTTTTAAATTCTACATAAAATTCTGAGTAAAATAACTATACCATGGTAGGTAGGTTTACGGATATGGGGGTAAAATGTTTGGAATCCTAAAACATTGCTTTAAAAATTCCATGTCAATTCTTTAACATTTTTCAACAAATTACCCGAGAAAACCCAGGACAAATTGGACTAACTTGAAACGTTAATAACTTTTTTATTTTAAATGTACCCGGTATGTTGAAATTGAAATTGATATGGAGTCTTTTAAACAATGTTTCAGATTCCAAAATTTCCACCCCATTTCTGCAAACCTAATAGCAAGAAAGTTATAGGCTATTTTTGATTGACGCGCATTTGTCATATTTTAACGGAAAAAATTAATAACTCCAAAACTATTTACTCTAGGTATAGGACATGGTACACTAATTTTACTCAAAATTTTATGTAGAATTTAAAAATGTAAAAATATATGGGGTGTTTCATTTAAAATAACAAAGTTGATGTCACGTCCGGTCAAGCCGTAAGTGGCATTTTGTTTAAAATATTTTAGAAAAAAGGCTTAACCCAGTAAACACACATACGTTAATTAAACGTTTTTTTAAACCGTAACACCATTTTGTTTTTACGTATATTTATAACGTACAATCAACTTTAAAATGTCGCAGATTATAACGTTTAACAATACTAATAAATAAACGTTTAATTTTGGCGTTAAGAAAACGATTATTACACGTTTCGAAATGTTACATTTAACACGTTTAATATACGTCTATTAATAACGTAAATTAATGATTGTTTTTGCCTCATTTATAACGTTTAAATTCATATTAATGTCCTTTCTAACGTTAGTTCTATAATAAATAAAACTCCACAAATACTTGTTTTTACAACGTATTTATTAAACGTTCGTTTAACGTTAACTGCAATGACAATGATTTTTTTCTCCAGCCGTCTTCAGGTGAATCATTTTTATCGTTTGCTGGAAAATTTAGGTGCTTCTAAAACACAAAAAAGAAATTTCTTAAACAATGAAAAATAGACTAATTTTTCGAAAAACCCTATAAGATTAAAAAAAAATGACTTAAAAAGCTTGTTTTCAGCTGGCTTTGTTGTTAAACAGATTAAATTCAAAAATTTTATTGTAGAATTTAGCTGGTATAATAAGAGTGTTCTCGAAATACTAATTTACAATACGAACACCATCTTAAGGTCTTGTTGAATAGATCACGGCGTTCTCTATAGAATAGAGAACGCCGTGAATAGATTTATAACCATAGCAAATGTATCTTATCGAGCCGACTTAAGTGTGATTTTACTAGAGAATTCTCTAGTAAAATTACGCCTAATTCCAATTTACGGTATAAATACACGACCGCCCCTAAATTTGGAAATAATGGACTCTCCACAATTTTAACATCTGTACAGTACATTTATGAGTATTGTGTTTAATCTAAATCAGTTTAATGTTAACAAATTATAATAAGAACAGTGTGTATGTTTTAAAACAATTACATTAAAGTACTTACCAAAAGCAGGACGAATCTTACGAGCAAAAAACACGTAAAAAATGCACCTTTTAATAGCAAAATCAAATTGAAAACTGACATAGCGAGCAGCTATGGCATGGCAGCCTGCCATTGGCAGGCCCAATCACATGATGTGTATTCGGCCAATCAGATTGCGTTCTTCAGTTATGCGTTTTATATGGGAATGTATAAACGTATTAAGTACGTTTATTTAAACGTAGTAAGTACGTTAGTTTAAACATATTAAGTACGTTTAAGTACCTTTGTTTAAACGTATTAAATACGTTTGTTTAAACGTATTAAGTACGTTTGTTTAAACGTATTAAGTACGTTATTTTTATCTATTACAGTAACTGTCTAGTTTAAAGAATGTTAATAAAATAATGCACATTTTAAAGCAACATTTGTGGATGAGTATAGTGTTCTGCCTAAAGCTTACTGTATGACCATTGACTATAGAATTACTAATGCTTTTCTTTAGAATGTAATTAGAAAATTTCTAAATTTTATTTAATGTTGTTTATATGTATACCTATGTATATTGTTTATGTATGTATACATGTTGCATCAGTTTATTAAATATTAAACGTTATAAATTATTTTTAAACAAGTTATCCCATTTTAGAGAAAAGTGATGTGGATAAAAGTATATTTGTATTTGACAAAAACCGTTTTATTAACGTTATAAAAATATACTTTTGAAAAAGTGAGAAAGTTAAATTATTCATTTAACATTCATTCATAATTCATTTTTTTAACGAACAAAATTCTAAGATTTTATACCTTCAGATTTTAAATAAGTCATATTGTCTATATGTGTAAACTAAGCAAACATTTCACAAAATAAATATATAAAAACCAATTTTAAAAGTGTTCGATGGAGCGTGTTGAATATAACATAGTACCTATAAATGTTAAAAGAAAGAGCTGCCTGCACAGTTCATAAAATAATTACTTCAAACGTTATTTTCTCATTAAAACTCTTAATATTTGTGAAAAAAAATTGTGGGTTGAAACGTAATTTAAACATTTAAATGTATGGTTGACTGAACACCTTAATACGTTATTGTAACGTAAAAGTTAGTCACTATTAAAAAGCACATTTAAATTAACGTTCTTTTAACGCTTAAATTAAACATTTAAATATATGGTTGACTGAACACCTTAATACAATGTTATTGTAACGTAAAAGTTAGTCACTTTTAAAAGCATATTTAAATTATCGTTGTTTTAACGTTTAAATTAAACATTTAAATATATGGTTGACTGAACACCTTAATACAACGTTATTGTAACGTAAAAGTTAGCCATTATTAAAAAGCATATTTAAATAAACGTTGTTTTAACGTTTAAATTAGACATTTAAATATATGGTTGATTAAACACCTTAACACAACGTTATTGTAACGTAAAAGTGAGGCACTATTAAAAAGCATATTTAAATTAACGTTGTTTTAACGTTTAAATTAATTCGTGTAAATTTATACCAATATCAAACCGTTGCTTTTTCTACGTAAAACGTTTTATTGACCTTTCACGCGTTTTAAATTCGTTTAAAAAACGTGTATGTGTTTACTGGGAATTTGACTATAAACGCTTTAAAAATTTTAAATCGATATATTTTGCCGTTTCTCAGAAACTCTCAACGGACCACGAACGTGAAACACCCGTATTTCGTAAATGTGCATCACCCTGTATATAATTAAAATAATTTTAATGGTTGTCCATTTATTTAGTGAATACATTTTTCATAAAAATATACTGTCTACCTGTTATATTATGTGCCGAATACCGTGCACAGAGAAAAGTAATCTCTTGATTTTACTATATCTGTCTTGACTCAAATAAATTATTTATTTCGATATGATACAATAAGATATTTATTTGGTGGAAAACTTGGGTTTATTTGACTTTTTAAACTGGTGGTTTGTTTAATACAAGTAAATATTTAGTTGACTTTTTATCTCAGGTTTAGTAGAATCTTACTTAAAGAAACAAAACATTTACTTGAAGTGAGTAATTCATTTTTTTAAATTAAATGTGAAGCTTTCTTAAAGAAACAAAATATTTACTTACATGAAGAAAACAATTTATTTCAGACAAATAATTAGTACCTTTTAATATTATAATTTCACGAAATATATAGTGATTGAACCAAACAAATGTTTGCTTGTTTTAATACTATGATTTATTTATTTTAATGTTGTTAATTACTTGATATTTGGTCGGGAAAATTAAATTAAAAAACGTTTATTCCAATATTTTTTATTTGAACAAAACAAGTGTACACAGGAAACAGGAAGTTCCTTGACGCATTACTAGTATATTACCAGTGGTATTATTCCAGAAAATGAAACCTTCAACTCGCTAGAGATAATGTTTTTAGTGCGTTCCACTAACTACTTCAAGTATTGACAGCTGTTTCCACCTATTTAAGGTCTCTTTAGTATCGAACAACTTGTAGTGTCACACCAAAGCAAAGGATTACCTAAGTTTATATATTTTTCATGT